CGGCCCAATGGGGCTTTAGCTTGTCCCCCTCTCTGGCCCTTTGCTGCCCCCCTGTGGTCATTCTGCCGTATAACTGTCTCTCCTGCCAGACCCCCTCCCTTTCCATTTTATGAGAAACAATCGAATTCCAGGCACATCCCATTGCCCTGCTTTACCACTATGCATCGTAAGAAACAAAATAAGAGGGCCACCAGCACCCTGGATGGCTGAAATTTTGGGGCTGGGCAAACGTGGGTATTTTTTTTCAGTCTTGTGATTTTTAAGACAGTCTCCTGATTATGAAGGGGCCAGACTCATGATTTTTTTCCAGGGCGGGGACCGGCCTACATTGCCATCTCTGCCTGGTCTCTTGTGAATGGTCCTCTCAGACCAGCATTATGGCAGGGTGGAGGAAAATTGATGCATTTGCTGCTTGAAGATGTCCTCGTTCCATGGATGGAGGATTTCACCCTGGGAGCTGTCCATCTCAGCCCCTAGAAAAATGGGTACTGGTCAGGGTTCTCGGCTCCATACTCTTTTGGCTGCCAAAAGGGAAGTGATGTGGCTGATTCACCACACTGGGATGCAGAAGACCTGGGTTTTATTCCCAGCTCTACCACTGGCCTGCTTGGTGACCTCTGACAAATCACATCCCTGGGCCTCAGTTTCCCCATCTGGGAAATCAGGACAATTACACCTACCTGCTTTGAGAGCTAGAGATTATAATTATTGTCCCTTTGACCTTGTGCCCATCTTGGCACTTTTGTTTGGCCTCTGTATTTAGCTACCTTCCTCTTCTTTGTGGTCCTTCCTCTCTTCTAACGGGGAACCCACGGGTAGAGCTGTGCCGAGTCCCTCTCCTCCCCCCCTCCGAAACACATGCCTGCAGAACTCAAATAAGCCAGCACCTTCCATCAGCACTGGATTCCCTTTGGAAAGTCAAGGTAATCATCATCATAAATCCACACCAACAGCCCATACAGAGCAATTTCCAATGGGGAGTAACACTACACATCAAAGCATTATTATCCCTGTTTGATAGATGTGAAACTAAGGCCCAGAGCAAGTGACTGACTTGCTCAAGGATCAACCCAGTGGGATAAAGGAAAGAACCCAGGTCTTCTAGTTTAATGGCCAAGCTACTGGTGACCAGTGCTATGTGAAAACCAATTAAAAGTATGTCTAAGGAAGGAATATCCTTAATCTGCGATATTGTGGAACTTGCAGATCCCGTAATATTAGGCAGATTTGAATTAGCTTATTTTGCACAGTCCATGATTTTGCATACAGCCTGAGGTTTGCAATACACTTTTTGTCCCCATTACAGTACAGCCGGTCCCCAAGTGATGAACGGGTTACGGATCAAACACTTGGCTGTAACTCGAAATGTTCGTAAGTCGGACCCCATTGAGTTACATTGCGCCCGCACTGTTCGTAAGCGTGGGTCACGTTCGTAACTCGGGGACCGCCTTTACGACTGCTTAATGGGAGGCTTGGTCGTAAATGTGAATGGTCGTAAATCGACCGTTTGTAACTCGGGGACCGGCTGCACAGCAGAACTCCATTTAACCAAGCTAACAACAGCCGGGTTCGGGATGTGAGCCCCACACATTAATGACTGAAAGAGTTGCAGCGAAATATCTGGTTATCAACAAAATTAGCAGGCATAATACTTGAACATAAGAATGGCCACACTGGGTCAAACCGAAGGTCCATCTAGCCCAGTGTCCTGTCGGCCGACAGTGGCCAATGCCAGACACCCCAGAGTGAGTGAACACAACAGGTAATCCTCATGTGATCCCTCCCCTGTCACCCATTTCCAGACAAACAGAAGCTAGCGACACCATTCCTACCCATCCTGGCTAATGGCCATTGATGGACCTAACCTCCCTGAATCTATCTAGGTCTTTTTTCTACCCTGTTACCCCTGGTCTACACTAGGGGATACATTCTAATTAAGATACGCAACTTCAGCTACTTTAATTGTGTCGCTTAAGTCAAAGTTATCTTAACTTGATTTATGGGGCCGTCCACACGGCGGGAAGTGCCCCTAGTGCTTGTGTTATGGGACAAAGTAAATAACTCTTCTTTATTCACTTTTTCCATACCAGTCATGATTTTTCACCTCTTTCCCATCCCCCCCGTAAGTCGTCTCTTTTCCACGCTGAAAAGTCCCAGTCTTATTAATCTCTTCTCATGTTTACATTTTGTTTCAAACTAATACATCTTCTCTGGCTTTTCCAAATTGCTGCAATGAATAAAGATCCATTATTACTTTTCTGCCATTTCCCATGTCTTGTCCGCAACACAGCTGCAATTATTTGACCTCTGAGTGAAGTAGGGTCTTACGCAGATCATTATTATTGTTACTGGTTCTGGCTCACTGTATTGCATTGCTGTGTTGTCATTATATACGTATTGTTCTCTGTGTTATGGCTATTGTTTTTAGTGATTGGTGTTGCAGTAGTCCTGAGGAGACTTTGTCATTGTCTGCGACCCCTGGAGTGCAAGGTGCTGCACAAACACAGTACTAACGCATGGTCCCTGGCCCAAAGTGGATGCTCACAATCTCTGTAGGGTTTCATCTTAGTTAGCAATCTGTGGCGTTCAGTATAGCCCATGGCATATGAGACAGGAGTGCCGTAATGGGCTAATGCACCTTCCGGTCTATGCTACAGACTTACCGTCATGTAGCTGCATCACTCCATGCCTCGGAGCAAGGCAGTTATACCAGCCTAACCCTGGGCACAGACAGTGCTGTGTTGGTGGGAGAGCCCCTGCTGGGCCGCACTTTCAATTAACCTTGGCCTGCCCTCTCCCAGTGCCCAGTCATCTATCTGCCTTCTCAGACTTTCTTAAGGCTGGTATGGGGTGCACACCCCAGCACCGGGGGTCTTCACAGAAATACCAGCACCTGAAACGGGGCAAAAGGCCTGTTGCCCCTTCCACAAATGGCCCAGAAATACTTCCTCTCCCAAGGGCTCGACTGTCCATGTTTGCATCCAGCACATAATGTATAAAGAGCATTCTAACAGGACAGCACGAGAACATCATCAGTATGCTCATGGCATTACTTCCAAAGTACTCGCATTAAAATATAGTTGGCTAGCAGCGAAGGTGTGTGCCAGACTAAAGATCCAAGTATTGACGATTTCCACTGTCAGGCTATCTATCTATCTATCTATCTATCTATCTATCTATCTATCTATCTATCTATCTATCTATCTATCCCCATACACCCCATTATCTATCATCTCATACACCTCATGTATCCATCTCTCTCTCCCTCCCATCTATCTATCTATCTATCCATCCATCCGCATCACACCTAGCATCCAACTAGCTATCTATCTACCCATCCCCATCTATCTATCTATCTATCTCTCCCTGCTTCCCCATACACTCCATCTATCTATCCCCATACACCCCATCTCTCTCTCTCTCCCCATCACCCTTCCCCCCCTTGCACACATGTCTCTCTCCCTCTCTGAGCTGTGCGTGAGCCCCCACAATACCCAGCCCATGACACCGCCCTCCCCCTCCCAAAGGAGCAAATCACCAGC